TCTCCTGTGAAGAAAGATTGCAAGAGCTGGGCCTGTTCAGCCTGGAGAAGAGAAGATTGAGAGGGGATCTCATCAATGTGTACAAGTATCTGAGGATGAGGCCAGCCTCTTCTCCGTGGTGCCCAGCAACAGGACAAGAGGCAATGGGCAGAAACTGAAGCACAGGAAGTTCCATCTGAACCTGAGGAAAAACTTCTTGACTGTGAGGGTGACAGAGCATTGGAACAGGTTGCCCAGAGAGGTGGTGGAGTCTCCTTTGCCGGAGATATTCAAAAGCCGTCTGGATGTGATCCTGGGCAATATGCTCTAGGTGACCCTGCTTGAACAGGGAGGTTGGACTAGATGATCTCCAGAGGTCCCTTCCAACCTAAACGATTCTGTGTGTGATTCTGTGTGTAATATGAAGCAGTAGGGCAGGCAATCCTGCAAACCCTTCTTGGCCTAGAGGAGAAGGACACCACGTGTTACCTCTGGATGAGGGGGAATCTGTTCCTGATTCACTGAAGAAAGGCACAGAAGAAGTGCTGTGAAAGGTGGAGGGAGGTGTTGGTAGGACCCGGAAGTTCTGATGTCCTTTCCCAAAGCCCAGAGGGTGAGCAGAGGCAGTCTGCTGGTAGCTCTCCCTTCCTACAGAACTGCATGGCCGCACGTGGGAGAAACTGAGACTGCTAAGTTCTTCCTGAGCAAGCCACTGCCAAACTAGCCATTAAAGAAACCTAAATGTTACAGGCTGTGGTAGTAAATTAATGCAGCTTGCAGTTTCCTCAGCAGATATGACCCAAAGTCAACCTGTGATGCAGTGACACAGACCACGTTTGTCTAACAGCTGTGCTATAGTGAGAGCACTTTCCTCGCACGCTGTGGTCTGTGTACTTAAACAGCCAGTGTGGCGTTTGGCACTCGGGACCCCACAAAATAACATCTGGATGATGGGCTGTGTGGTTAGTTCTGTATTTTCTTCTGCATTCGTGGGGTGTGTGGCTCTAACACTGGTTTATACGTAGTGTTATTTGTTGGTCTTAAATCTCGTTTACTCTGTACTTAAAAGGTGAGATGTTTGGGATGTTTTATAGAGGATTCTGAGGCAGTGCTGTTATGCCACTTTAAGCTTATGGGAAGTAGTCCAAGATCTGGCAGCTTTTGGCAAACGGATATAGCAGATA